AAGAGCGGGGCTGAGCTGTTTCACCCACCTGGATGCAGGATGCCAGCACTGGAATGATACCCTGAGGCAGAAGCTGTTTCCTCACGGCTTCGCTTTCCACAACCAGGTTCCCCAATGTGTACAAACACAGCTCCTGAAACACGCCCAGGAGGGGTAAATAGAGGTGGACACTGCTGCACTCTCCAGCTACCCCGTTCCCAGCTTCCCAAACATGATGGAACCAAACTCCTCTTGGTGTCGGGATGGGGGTCTTGGTGATGAAAGGGGTCTCCGTTCTTCCAAGACTTGGCCACGCTGCCCTGGGCAAGCACTGCCCCATGGAAAAGGTTGGACTAGAGACTTCCAGAGGGCCCTGTCCCACCAGCACTCCTGAGTGAGCCACGTTAGGCTGAGGTGGCCAAAAGTGGTCAACACCCAACGGCACCAGAGCCCTGAAAAACACAGGCACGGATCTTACCGTGAACTCAACGCTGTGTCCCGAGAGGTAGGTGAGGAGATAGGAGGTGACCGGCAGACACGCCTCAGCCACAGCAGGGTCACTGGAGTGGGAGAGCTCGTGGAGGCAGCGGGCAGCCTCCATCTGCACGTCAGCCAGGCTGCCGGTGAAGAGCCCGATGAGCGTCCGGATGCTGCCGTCCAGCCTGGTGGAACACAGACAGAGGCTGCTGTCACCTCCTGCCTTCTCAATTTTCACCACACACCAGCTCACCAACACACGACTGGGACAAAGAGCCACTCTGGATGTGCCCCTGATACCAGCCGTGCAGACCTGGGCTGACCTGACAAACTTCTGCTGAGTCTCCTTGTTCTGCAGAGCCCAGCGCAGGCGGCTCAGCGATCCTCTCCTGTCCTCTGAACCCCTCTGCACACCTCTGAGCAGCTCAAGAACCTGTCCGAAAATTACAAGATGGGTGAATTGCAAGCAGTGCCAGGGTTAAGATTTCATCCCGTTAATCCTAGAGGCAAAGAAACCCGGGGCATGAGTTCAGATGGTCACAAAGAACCTTAGTTTCTCACTGTGTCTAGCAGTGACTCAGAAAGCGCTCCCAAACCCACCTCCACCTCCCAAACCCAGACTCCTCCACATGCCTAGAGGCTGGGGAAGATGCCAGGGACCCCCATCACCACGGAGAACACCACACTCTTCACCTCATCCTCTGAGAGAGGGTCCACCACGGTCTCTGCTCCATCCTGTCCTCCTTCCTCTGCTGCAGTGTCCTCCCGCAGGAGCCGCTTGCTGACCAACTGCTCCTGCCGCCGGGCTTTCCTGAGAGCTGTGATCGAATCGGTTCCCGTCACCCCCTGCCCAGGTCCAGAGGCTTTTCCATCCCACCAAACACCCTTATTCCTTTTAACAGGGAGAAACTGCCGGTTCCTCCTTGTGCAAGCCAGGCAGGGATACGTGAAGCAATGGCTGTGGGGTCGGGCGCTTGCCAACACACGAAGCCATGGCAGGGCAAACCGGCATGAGCAGGACAGAGGCGTGAGGACCAGGGGAGCGGGAGGGATCCGAGGCTGCTTTTACCTTGGGGAGACCTTGGAAAACCCAAACCGCAGGGGGGTGTTTGAGGAGATGGGGCATACAGGGCAGAAAACCCATGGACTGTATTTTTTTAAAAGGCTGTAAAACGCTTCCCCGCGCAGGCAGGGAGCCCACAGGTGCCAACCATCCCGTCCGTGGCCGGATAGGAGAGGGGAGTCGGGGCTCTGTTT